GTGTGTGTGTGTGTGTGTGTGTGTGTGTGTGTGTGTGTGTGTGTGTGTGTGCGTGCTTCTTTTAAGAGATAAAGGAATCAAAGTTAAGATGATCTGCGGCACTGTTAGCCAACAAGACTAATTCTGGAGGAGCAGAGTTTGCCACATTCTGGGCGCTCAAGAATCAAAAGCTCCACTATCACCTATGTGTGGATGTGCACAGCTTATGGGCTTTCTCTCTTGGCTTCAGCATTTCTTTCTTTTTCTTTCCCCTTTCTTTTTTTGGTAAGTGTGTTACGCCGCTCGCACCTGCATGAGGTCATGAGCGCGGGACACACCAAGCATATTCAGTTGCTAGGACATTTTGAATTTTGACTGAAGCTGTCTCTTATCGATTTTAGACCACCAAGGGATCTTTAACGTGAGCAACTTGCACATCAGGCCCTCCAAGATTTTTCAGCCTTGTCCGAGAAGACTAGGTGTAGATCTTTCCTACCAGAAGATCAGGGGTGTGGCTGAAAGACAGCAGTAAGAAGAAGCCACGGAGTAGCAGTAGAAAGGCTGCAGAAAGAGTCAGGAGACCAGAGGATGAGGCAAAGGAGGTGAGGGGGTGGGGGCAGAAAGAGGAGACGAAAGCAGACGAAAGAACATTGCTGGAGAGTAGGAAAAGAGGTGAAAGGAGACAATTTTAGAGAAGAACATTTTTTCGGTCGCTACCCGAATTTGAACCGGGGACCTTTGAATGAGAGGTGAACACCTTAACCTCTAGGCCACGAGAGCCCTCTCAGCATTTCTAATTCGTGAAGCTTCATACAAAAAGTCATATATTTACGAGCTTCAGATACACACCCTCAAACTGTCTCTTAATGGTCTTCAACTTCTATCTATCGACTTTGGATAGCGTATCTCCTGTCAGACCCAGATAGAGAACAGTTGTCATGCATGGGGTGTAGAAAGTCATATTTACGTACATTGTTAACATAAAAAACTATGCCTTTGGAACCTATGAGGCATTTCAATAAACAGTGACAAATACTGTAGAAAACCTGAGTCCACCTCTGTCCTACCTATATCATAATTTGTCATTTCCCTGGCCTCTATATGCATTAAGAGATTTTAGGCAAGGTCTTTTCACTGCATCTTAATCTTTTTCTTTTTTTTTTCCTTCTTTTTTTTTGGTTAAAGTTTAATTTGGCAGTCTTCATCCCTGTCCCACCAACGCCCTCGATCTGGTCAGACTTCTAAAAATAAAGCCCCAGTTGTTGTTCTTGCCAACAACAATTTATTGTTTACCTCCCTTAGAACGTGCACGATTTGAGTCAATTGAGATTCCTTTTTGCTGCTGAAGACTTTTAGTTGATCGAACAGAAAAATGTTGTTTCTTTTCACATGATGGGGTTGGACTTTGAGTTTCTTTTCACATGACGGGGTTGGACTTTGAGTTTCTTTTCACATGACGGGGTTGGACTTTGAGTTTCTTTTCACATGACGGGGTTGGACTTTGAGTTTCTTTTCACATGACGGGGTTGGACTTTGAGTTTCTTTTCACATGACGGGGTTGGACTTTGAGTTTCTTTTCACATGACGGGGTTGGACTTTGAGTTTCTTTTCACATGACGGGGTTGGACTTTGAGTTTCTTTTCACATGATGGGGTTGGACTTTGAGTTTCTTTTCACATGACGGGGTTGGACTTTGAGTTTCTTTTCACATGACGGGGTTGGACTTTGAGTTTCTTTTCACATGACGGGGCTGGACTTTGAGATTTGATTGATAACACTTATTCTGTCATCATCATCATCATCAATCATTACAGACAAAACAACCCAGAAATTCAAAACAGACACCACAGAAGCTGAAGAAATACTAAAGAGAACTAGTTCACTCCATTCGACAATATAAAACTTTTTATTCAAACATCAATACCAAAAACTTCCACTCAATAAGAAGTAAACCTCACGTCTGCTAGCCTTCACAACGTTCAGTTGCCAGGTTTGGGACATTAGTTCAAATGCATACAACTGGTAAAAAAAGCAAACTATCCCACTTGGTGATATTAACTTGTTCCACAAATGTCGATCAAAAGTCAACTCCGTCGTTACACACGACGGGAATTAAGGATGACACAGCAGAGTACAAATGAGCTGAATTAGTTGAATAATGTGTGGGCTAAATAAAAGTCTTATAATGTCATTTAATAAAAGAAGAACATCGAAATGCAACACAAACAACGACAAAAGCTGAAAAAAATGTATATTAAAAGCTTTCACCTTGGATAATTCTTCATATTTCAGGCCCCAATTGACAAAATTTAGATCATGTAGAAGGTGGGTTGAAAGGAACACAGAAGAAAGATGGGGATACGTATGCTAAATAAAAATAGCCCTTCCCCAATAATCCGAAACATGTCTTTTGCATGCACCGTCGAAGAGCTTGTCCATTTTACTAGATAAACCTTTAGAAAAAGCTTCCAAAGCCTGTAATAAACTTCAAAATGAAGCCAAAACGAGAGAGAGACATTCTCTTGCTTACAAATGAGATGACAGCACAATTATCTATTTTTAGAACAGCATAAGCTGGAGATGTGGAGGAATCAATTTTTTAAAAATGTGGTCAAATAAAAGTCTACTACCACAGTTTCGAGCTTATAATAGGATCTAAAAATTTCTTCGAGGGAGGCCACCCTTCACATACAGATTTCAGAGTAGAGGAGCAGCTGTAGGTTCTATATCCGCCACTCTATCCGCACGGATCAACAGGAAATTATTGATCGCTGGAATGCTGATTCATGTATCTGAAGTGGAGAGGATTAACTTCTGAGTCACGCCACAACAAGAAGAAGATATATATATGTATGTACATATATATATATTTATATATATATATATTATAATATAACGGGAAAGTTTTGAGATGTAGAAACAAATTCTATCTCTTTTACTCTGTTTACTGTGAAAACAATCCAAGCAACTGCACATTTATAAAAATTGTCAATACCAACATTTAGCAAGAATGAAAACATGAGACTAGCCTTGTGCACATGTACTGAGCACATCAATACTGATATAATTATGCTGATACATGTATAGTATATCATATTATATATATGAAAGCAAGTGTGTTTGAGAGTGTGTCTATTTGTGTGTTCATCCAAGTGTGTGCTTTTCTGAATTTAAAAAAATGTTTTCTTTGTATACCTTATGAAATCCTTGAGAAATTCCTGTTTAATCAGCTGTTTCTTCACAAACGCCTGCACTATCATTCTTGTGGGAGAAAAGATCAGAAATCCAGATATTCTACAAAATTCCATAAACTGAAAAGAAACCAGAGAATAACAACTTCTGATGATTCTAAAAAAGAAACTAGAGAATGACAACTTCTGATGATTCTAAAAAAGAAGCTACTTATATATAACAACTTGTGAAAATTCTAACAACAAAATGACAATCCAATGACCAGCCACCCTCTCATGATTCCTCAAGTTAGACCACTGATGCAAGAAGCAAGTTACTGGGAATTATCATCTACCTTCATACAATTTATGTTAAAAAAAAGATAAGTGAAACTTTAGAACCGCTACGATTATCACAACAAACATCAAATAAACAGAAACATGGAGAATAAAGAGAAACATGGAGAATAAAGAGAAACATGGAGAATAAAGAGAAACAAGGAGAATAAAGAGAAACATGGAGAATAAAGAGAAACATGGAGAATAAAGAGAGACATGGAGAATAAAGAGAAACATGGAGAATAAAGAGAAACAAGGAGAATAAAGAGAAACATGGAGAATAAAGAGAGACATGGAGAATAAAGAGAAACAAGGAGAATAAAGAGAAACAAGGAGAATAAAGAGAAACATGGAGAATAAAGAGAGACATGGAGAATAAACAGAAACAAGGAGAATAAAGAGAAACAAGGAGAATAAAGAGAAACATGGAGAATAAAGAGAGACATGGAGAATAAAGAGAAACAAGAATTTTTATCACAAACAAACAAAAGGACAAACAAAAGGACAAACAAAAGGACAAACAAGACTTTTCCGTACAAAGGGAACTGATCAAAATGTGATTGAATGTTGAAAGATATACGTACGATAAATCTTAACCTTAGTACCTTTCAGAAAGGACTTAATTGTCACAAGAAATAAAATCAGCGTAAAATATGTAAATAGCTTTTGAACATAGAAAATCATTTGTCCAATCTTCACAAGACAATAATAATAATCACACATACACACATGTATTTGTAGAAGAACTATTAGTTCACCACAAGGGTGGGAATTCACGTGATCAAAAGTACACAACTCGCACAACACAACAGCAACACAAAGTTTCTGCCTAACAAACAGAAACAAACAGGAATCAGTCATGTACTACTCATAACACAAGCCAGCAAATGAAAAGAATAACTTATATTAATCAGATATTTACCAAAAACAAATTCATATTTAATATATGCATTTGTGACACCGAATCATTCAAAATACTTCCAGTTAAAATTATGCTTACTGAGACAAACGACGAGTCATCACACCCCCCCCCCCCCCCCCATACACACACACACACATACATTTGTTCAGACCAGGTCGGAGTTACCCTATAATCATATTTTGACAAGATGTG